AGCGGAAGAAAAAACATCAGACAATTCTTGACATGAAGCTGAAATTCCTGGGGACTTTGTGGATACACCCGACCCGTGTTGTTTTCTTTGCCACCGTACAGAAAATAATTTGCCACTGCCGACTTACAAAACGTTTTTCAACTTTCAGTCTGCTCTGTCACATTCCATCCAACTCTACAGGTTGTCTGAAATGGCCTAAAGCAGGGGTTTGGACTCAGGGATGAAATCCAGCAGGTTCAGACAGGTTCTGGAGAACCGGCAGCGGAAATTTTGAGCAGTTCAGAGAACCAGCAAATACCACCTCTGGCTGGCCCCAGGAGTGGGGAGGGAATGGGGATTTCGCAGTATCCTTCCCCCAGGAGTGGGGAGGGAATGGGGATTTTGCAGTATCCTTCCCCCTGCCATGCCCACCAAGCCACACCATGCCCACCAAGCCATGCCCACAGAACCGGTAGTAAAAAAAGTTTGGTTGGACTAGAAGACTTCCAAGATTCCTTCCAACTCTAGGATTCCGTTTAGTGACCGAAGTTACGACAGCACTGAAAAAAGTAACTTATGATCGTTTTTCCACACTTAACAACCATTGCAGTATTCCCATGAACATGTGATCAGAATTCGCCAGTTGGGAACTGCCATGCCATGTCCCGTGGTCACGGGAGCCCCGTTTCTAACCTTCCCAGCCATCTTGCGACAAGCAAAGACGATGGGGGAGGCCCGTTTTGCTTAACGACGGCATGTTTCACTTAACAACTATGGCAAAAGGTCCTAAAATGAGGCATGATTCACTTAACTATTACCTCGCTTAGCCATGGGGATTTTGGGCTCAGTTGTTGTCGTAAATCAAGGACTAGAACGAAGTCTAATACTGCATCCAGTTTTGGTCACCACGATATTAAAAAAAGATGTTGAGACTTTGGAAAGAGTGTAGAGAAGAGCAACGAAGATGATTAGGAGACTGGAGGCTAAAACATACGAAGAACGGTTGCAGGAACTGGGTATGTCCAGTTTAATGAAAAGAAGGACTAGGGGAGACATGATAGCAGTCTTCCAATATCTCAGGGGCTGCCACAAAGAAGAGGGAGTCAAGCTATTCTCCAAAGCACCTGAAGGCAGGACAAGAAGCAGTGGGTGGAAACTAATCAAGGAGAGAAGCAACCTAGAACTAAGGAGAAATTTTCTGCAATTTAGAATAATTAACCAGTGGAACAACTTGCCTCCAGAAGTTGTGGATGCTCCAACACTGGAGGTTTTTAAGAGACTGGACAATCATTTGTCTGAAATGGTATAGGGTCTTATTCTTGAGCAGGGGGTTGGACTAGAAGACCTCCAAGGTCCCTTCCAACTCGGTTATTCTGCGTACCTGTACTTAGCTTTTCTGAGCTGAAAGTTAGCTGAGTGCTACAGCTTCCTGCGCCTTTCTGCAATATGTTGTGGCACAAATCCTGCCGAGGCCGTTCATAAGCTTCTAGATCCCCAGCGGATAGGGATGGTCCCAGGTGCTACTTTATTTCATCACCTAACAAGACCTTGCAATTCCCTCGGAAAGCAAGGAAGTAGAAGAGCAGCCGTGACTGAAAATGGTGCCAGCGGGACAAGAGGTCAAAACAAGAAGAACAGTGTTGAAAATCCTCGAATGCAAATAATTGTGTGTTCTGTGCAGCTTTTCGGTAATAGGTGAGGGGAAATCGTCAGCACCAGATCGAATAGAATAGAATTGAATAGAATAGAATAGAATAGAATAGAATAGAATAGAATAGAATAGAATAGAATAGAATAGAATAGAATAGAATAGAATTCTTTATTGGCCAAGTGTGATTGGACCCACAAGGAATTTGTCTTTGGTGCATAAGCTCTCAGTGTACATAAAAGAAAAGATACGTTCGTCAAGAATCATAAGGTACAACACTTAATGATAGCCATAGGGTACAAATAAGCAATCAAATCATACTAGGAAATAATCAATATAAATAGTAAGGATACAAGCAACAAAATTACAGTCATACAGTCATAAGTGGGAGGAGATGGGTGATAGGAACGATGAGAAGATTAATAGTAATGCAGACTTAGTGAATAGTTTGACAGTGTTGAGGGAATTATTTGTTCAGCAGAGAGATGGTGTTGGGGAAAAACTGTCCTTGTGTCTAGTTGTTCTGGTGTGCAGTGCTCTATAGCGTCGTTTTGAGGGTAGGAGTTGAAAGAGTTTATGTCCAGGATGTGAGGGGTCTGTAGCAGAGATGGGCTTCAGCAGGTTCCAACCAGTTCTGGAGAACCGGTAGTGGAAATTTTGAGTAGTTCAGAGAAGCGGTAGTAAAAATTCTGACTGGCCTCGCCCGCATCTATTCTTTGCCTCCCAGTCCCAGCTGATCGTGAGAAAATTGGGATTTTGCAGTAACCTTCCCCTGGATTGGGGAGGGAATGGAGATTTTACAGTATCCTTCCTATGGAGCAGGGTGGGAATGGAGATTTTACAGTAGCCTTCCCCTGCCACGCCTACCAAGGCACGCCCACAGAACCGGTAGTAAAAAAATTTGAAACCCACCACTGGTTTGTAGATATTTTCACAGCCCTTTTTTTGACTCATGCAGTATATAGGTCCTCAGTGGAAGGCAGGTTGGTAGCCGTTGTTTTTTCTGCAGTTCTAATGATCCTCTGAAGTCGGTGTCTGTCTTGTTGGGTTGCAGAACCAAACCAGACGGTTATAGAGGTGCAGATGACAGACTCAATAATTCCTCTGTAGAACTGGATCAGCAGCTCCTTGGACAATTTGAGCTTCCTGAGCTGGCACAGAAAGAACATTCTCTGTTGTGCTTTTTTGATGATGTTTTTGATGTTAGCTGTCCATTTTAGGTCTTGAGATATGGTCGAACCTAGAATTTTGAAAGTCTCTACTGTTGATACTGTGTGGTCTAGTATTGTGAGAGGTGGAAGTATGCAAGGGTTTCTCCCTCAATTTACCTATCTCAGAAGGATGGAAGGCTGAGTCAACCTTGAGCCTGGTGAGATTTGAACTCGCACTAATTGCAGGCAGCTGGCAGCTAAGTGCTACATAACAGCACTTAGTCCGCTGCACCACCCAGGCTCTTTTCCGGTCAGCTCCACAATTGATAGGGCTTTCAGTTAGGACAGGTAGAGGAAAAAGTATGCCACGCTAGGAGGAGACTCTATGGTGGAGGAATTGGACTTCCGGTCAGCTCCAGAATTGAATGGGGGGGGGGCTTCCGGTTAAGACTTTTGTGGCTCTTTGAGTGTTTAAGGTTGCCGACCCCTTGGCTAGTCGGTCCACCGCAGGCTGTAGTGTGGGGGTGTTAGAAGATTGTGGTCACGACACGCCAGTCCAAGCTACACGTCAACGATGCACATCAAAACCCCAGGAAAGGCTTCGATCAAGTGATTTGAGACCACCGTCCTGACTGCAGTGCAGACCCTCCTGACTGTAACCCTGGATGGAAAAAGAAGCAGGAGGATTGCACAGTAGTAAAACACAAGGTTGTATTGTGTTTTAACGACAAGTCATAAAACATCTGTGTCTTGCATAAATACCGATGGTTAACTGGGCCAAAGGCTGGAAACGGTTGCCAGATTTTCCAGCCCTAACTATAACTTTCCGAAGTTGACTCGGATCGTTTTTGGTTTAATGGTTTCACTTTTGGCTCCTCTGTGTTTTAAGATGCACTTTATTGATCTGTTGTGTGTTTGACCAGGTCCATAAAAAGCTGAACAAATTGAGCAATGACCCCCCCCCCCAAAAAAAGGCATTTGGCAAAGGGCGTTTGTTATCTCTTTCGGGCGAATGTGTAAAGTGAACCTTTACACTTTCTCTGTGTTTGCTGGAATCTGTTGTCTTATACAGTGGTCTCCATTCCACTCCGTAGGATTATCTCATGTTGCCACTCTATAAATGAAGATTTTTTTCAACGTAATTCAGATGACGTGGTTCTTTGGTTACTTTGCCCCCGTTTTTAAGTCCTTAATACAGGTAATCCTCAATTTACCATCAATAAATTTCCATTTCTAAGCAAGACAGCGATTAAGGGAGTTTTGTTCCATTTTACGACCTTTCTGGCCACCGTTGTTAAGTGAATCACTGCAGCTGTTCAGTTAGTAACACAGTTGTTAAGTGAATCTGACTTCCCCATTGACTCTGCTGGTTGGAAGATCATCAAACACGACCCTGGGACACTGCAACCGTCATAAATATGAGTCGGTCGCTAAGCATCTGAATTTTGATCGCGTGACTGTGGTTGTAAGTGTGAAAAACAATCCTTTTTTTTTTAATAAAAAAGTTTTTTTTATTTTTATGTTTAAACAATACATCATTAATTATTCATTGTGTCATCTGAGTACATATTTGCGTGTCGTCATATTCCTCCTTTACCATCATTTTCTTACTACTTTTCTATCTTACTTTTACATTTTAATTTAATTTATTACATTTTTTTCAAATCTCTTGCATTTATATTAATTTTTATTATATCTCATCGCTATCCATTGATAAGATTGCCCCCATATCCTGTAATACTCCGATTCTTCCTTTCCTTTAATTGCCAATGTTAATCTATTCATTTCTGCACATTCCAATATTTTCTTAAATTACTTCTCCCTCTAGAGCAATTTTTTTTCTGCTTTCCAATTTCGTGCAAATACAATCCTCGCTGCAGTTATTACATGTACAATCAGATACATATTTTCTTTACTATAGAAAAACAATCCTAAGTCACTTGTTTCAGTGCCGTTGTAACTTCGGCCACTAAACGAGCTGTTGTAAGTCGAGGACTAGCTGTATTTCTCTGTCTCCGGACTTCTCCTGCAGCTGTTAAATGCTGTCGTTTTACAATGTGCTTCTCTGTAATGTTCACCAATTGATTGTCCTTGTGACTGTTGGTATCTGGGTCTGATTGTAAGAGGTGCTTGGTTCTTTTACTGGACTTGGTGGTGGTGGGCAGACGATTTGATTCCCCCAGCAATCTGGAGCCTCTTCTGCCCCTTTTCTATCCTCACAGGTGCTGTCCTTAAAGTCACCGTCACCGGGCCTTCTCATGTGGTAGAAAACCAACCTGTCACTTTTCGTTGTTCCTCTTTGGGTTTCAATGTTTCCTACTCCTGGTTGAAGGGAGGCCAACCGATTGAAGCAGGAGGGAATTTCCTTGTGGAGAACAACAACCTCACGCTCCTTTCAACTTCTCGGAGTGATGCAACCAGCTATACCTGTTCTGGGCAAAATAGCTTCTCGGCCAACAACAGCGAGCCTCACCGGCTTGAAATCTTCTGTAAGTTTAGGCTGGAGGTGTCCCTTCCCACCCAGTTCATCTTCTTTTAAATGACCTCATAATCCCTTGCGGGTGGAGTCTGGGCCACTGAATGGAGCTGAATGTTTTTAATGGCCGGATGCCCTTCCTGTCACCAGTGCGGAGGTTTTTTTCTAGCAGATATATTCTCAGTGTGCCCAGAGAAAGAAATATCTGCCTCTACCTAGGATTGAACTCACAGCCTCCTGATTGTGAGGCGAGAACTCCACCTCTAGGCCACTGCACCACTCTAATGGCTCACCATCAGTTGGCCCCTTTTAATAGATCCTTAGGAGGGTGCGATGGCTCACTGGTTAAAGACACTCAGCTTGTCAACTGGAAAGCTGACAGCCTGGGTTCGAGACCCGAGCACCGCGAGACGGGGTGAGCTCCCACTACTTGCCCCAGTTCCGGCCCATCTAGCAGTTTGAAAGCAACTGCGAGTAGATAAATAGGTACCACTTTGGGGGGAAAGTAACAGTGTTCTGTGTGCCTTTGGCAGAAAATGTTTTCTGACAATGCTGAGTCCCTCAGTCAAAAAATGATGATGAGTTAGACACAACTGGACAAGGGAAACTTATATTTTTAATAGACTCTCAATAGAAGATACAGTGGTACCTTGGTACTCATCGTTCATTGGTTCCGGGAGGCATACCAAAAACAATGAGTACGAAACAAATTTTTCTCATAAGGAACAATGTAAATAAATTTCATGTGTTCCCAAACCAAAGACAATGCACATTTTTAAGGCAATCTGTAAAAAGATAGGGTCGGATATCATTACTTTACATGAGAAATAAGCCTAAAAATTAAGACATGCTTGGATTAAATATAAAATAAAAACTTCACTTTGCCTGTACTGATGAGGCGGGTGGAGAAGCACAAAACTACACAAAAATGACCACAAAAGCTAGAATAAGACAGCAAGGGGGTGTGCACAGGTCAAGAGCTACTGTGTGAAAGGGCAACCGACACTAACAATTTCTAGCTTGTACGTTTAGTACCGAACAAATAACAAATACCGGGACAAAATTTTCTCAGCAAGATGCGTTGATTACCAAATTCGATGAGTTTCAAAGCAACTGAGTACCAAGGTACCACTATAAAATGCCTTTTGACACTCTATTTTGTCCCCTGGCTAACTGAAGACAGCTGGCTTTAGAAGGAAGGAGAACCAACCTCAAATAAATTTGCTAGCTTAACCGTGTGCTTGGTTTTAGTCTCTCTGTCTGTCTTTCCTTGGAATGGCTGATTTCTGCTTAATCTGCGTCCAAGGAAAGGATGAGACTTCGGCCCTTCTATTTTGTTTATTTTTTTTCTCCCTGACCTGCCCGATGTGGCAATGCTGCTTTCAGCCCAGGGAGTTGAAAGAAATTCATGCTGAACCTGAAGGCAGGAAATGTTGGTGATTTGAATTCAGGATCCAGTCCTGTAATTTATTACCAATGGCCAACAAGCATAAAGAGCCAGTTTGGTCTAGGGCCATGATGGCGAACCTATGGCACGCGTGCCACAGGTGGCACGTGGAGCCCTATTGGTGGGCACACATGCTCAGCTCCAGCACACGTGCTCAGCTCCGGCACGCATGCATGCGCCCGCCACCTGATTTTCAGGCCTTCCAGACCCACTGAAAGTAGGGAAACAGGAGGCAGGAAACTGTTTCCTGCCTCCGGAGAGCCTGGGGGTGTGGGGAAGGCCATTTTCGCCCTCCCCAGGCTCCTAAAAAGGCTCTGGAGCCTGGGGAGAGCAAAAAACAGGCCTACCAGACCCACCGTACCATCACGTGCCAAAAGCAGGGGGAGCGCGGGGGGATCGCATGTGAATGCACGGACGTGGGGTGCATAAAATTATGGGTGTGGGCACACACGTGCGTGACATACACACCCTGCACTCCCCCCGTTTTTGGCACGCGATGGCAAAAAGGTTAGCCATCACTGGTCTAGGGGTTAAGGCATCAGGCTATAGAAAGCGCGAGACCATGAGTTCAAGTACTGCCTTAACCTTGAAAACCAGCTGGGTGATTTTGGTCTATTAACTCTCCTTCAACCCAACCTGCTCCTCAAAGGACCATCTAACCAGCTCTTTGCTCCACAAATGGATGCTAAAGAAAAGCCCAACAATAGGAACCAGCTTCTTCATTGAGCTTCAAACTAGCTGGAATTAAAGCTTTGAGCTTGAAAACGAGCAAGAAATAAAAGATGACCCAGAAAACTGAGCCAAGTAATATTTTGAGAGATTGTTGTTGTTGTTGTTTTTCTTGATTTTATTCAGACATTCCCTAGTCTTCCACTCCCTGGGACTCCTCCCTATAGAGCCAGCGTACAGTTACGCCAAAAATGTAGGATTGTATTTTCAGATGGGTCTAGGACAACTCACCATGGCCAACTCACAGGAGGACAACTCTCCAATTCAATGCTGTATTTAAATGTTTCATTCAGGTATTTTGATTATTGGTGACACCACGTTCCTGTCGAAATTATTGTAACTCTTTTATTTATGGATTGGCTTCTTTATGTTGTTATAATGGGCCACAGATCAACATTAATTTAACTTTTGTATTTGTTGAATTGTCCCGCAGCGAGTTTGTCCCACAAAATGTTGGCCGCGGGTGAAGTTGTCCTATTCCGTTTTCGGATATAATGCCATAATAGCACTGGTAGTTTTCCTAAGCAGCATGATTTTTTTCCAACATATGACTTTCCTATGTTTGCTCCAGACGGGCCTGAACACCCCGTAATCAGCCCCCTACAACGAGTTTACAATGAGCATTCCACTCTGAACCTCTTCTGCTCTGCCGTCTCTAATCCACCTGCAAAGTTTTCTTGGTATCTTAATGGAGAACTTTTGCAACAACACAACGATTCTCACCTGACCCAGCGTCTTACTCTGAAGAACGCTGGAAACTATACTTGTAAAGTTACCAATGTTGAAACTGGACTTTCGAACACCGCCATTCTGGAGATCAGCATTCGGGGTGAGTAGCTTGGTGGATGGCCAAGCTCACTCAGATCTTTTGGAGGACTTGCAGTGGGTGATTTTGCCGGGGTATCTTTTTGGTGTGTGGACTCTTGTCTTCGCTTCCTGTCATCTTGGAACGTCAGTTTCAGAGCTCTGCATGGATTTGGTTTTGGACGTTCCTGCATTTTCGTTTTGAGTTTTCTTAACATGGTACTCCATCCTGGAATTTTACCATGATTCATTATCTCAACAGACTATTCCTCATTTATTTTGATTCTTTCTCTTACTCTCTATCTGTGATCTTGGTAGACTAGATTCCATCAGATTGCTCTAAGGACCGAAAGTCATTCCAGTAGAAATGAGATCCTATATGTTGTCCCTTCCAACATGTCACCTTCAAAACTTCTCCTCAGATACTGGCCTCTTTTGAGCCTGTTCTGGTGGTTACTCAAACTTAGTTCTTTTCCTTGTGTGTATTTCCAGTACTGTGACCTTGTATTTTCTTTCCTCACCGTTGTGAGAACCCAAATAGCTAAAACAATTGTGCAATTTTTTGTTAGCCTTTTTTTCTTTTTCGTGTACCTTCTCTTTAACCCTGTTTCGTTTATATCTTTGGTGCTGACAACTGGCCAGATTTTGGCTTAAGTTTTCAAGCCCACCCATTTTGATATTCACTCGGACTCTATAACTGTTCGATATTCTTTTCTTCCGTTTATTTTATCTGCCTCAAACTTGCCTCATTTGAAATTTAACTCCACCGCTTTCCTTCTTGGTGGTTGTGGAATGTCTCAGAAGTGGTTCAGAAACTCGCTACCTGTTTTACAGTGAAGCAACACAGATGTTGTTCCTGAAAACATACAGTAAACCTCATATTTCCTCTTTTTTTTATTATTGCTAAAATTTTCAGCTTAATCTCATTTTGGCCTCGTCTTTTCCCAACTTCCCATTTTAGCCATCGTCCTCCATGGAACATTTGAATCATCTTGACAAAATCCAAAAGTCCAGGAGAAAATAATTGATTTATATCAAAATTCTCCATCTATTTTTTTGTTTGTTTGTTCTGTTACCATTGCTTTAAGGGATGCGGTGGCTCAGTGGCTAAGACGCTGAGCTTGTCGATCGAAAGGTCGGCAGTTCAGCGGTTCGAATCCCTAGTGCCGCGTAATGGGGTGAGCTCCCGTTACTTGTCCCAGCTTCTGCCAACCTAGCAGTTCGAAAGCAGGTAAAAAATGCAAGTAGAAAAATAGGGACCACCTTTGGTGGGAAGGTAACAGTGTTCCATGCGCCTTTGGTGTTGAGTCATGCTGACCACATGACCACAGAGACGTCTTCGGACAGCGCTGGCTCTTCAGCTTTGAAACGGAGTTGAGCACCGTCCCCTAGAGTCGGGAACGACTAGCACATATTTGCAAGGGGAACCTTTATCTTTACCATTGCTTTGTACCTCAAGAGTCCAACACTTGATTAACCAACATTTCCTAAATGCATAGAGGCTTACCTCTCAGCCACAGATCTGACTGCCCAGCTCCTTCTGAATGGAAATTCAAGATTAAATCTTGAAGTCCTGAGTCAATGAACCACGATGAAAAGTCTTGATGGCCACGTCAGACGTTTTGTCTTAAATAACAATGATGTCCCACTTTTTTTTCTCTTTCTAACAGAGGCCATCAATCATATCTCCATCAGAGACCCTGGCAAGGTTGTCGAGAATAGCACCACATATCTCAACTGCACAGCCTCTGGCTTTAATGTTTCCTACTATTGGCTTAAGGGGAACCAGAAGCTGCAGGCAGGAGGCCACATATCTTTAAGCAGCAATGGTCAAAACCTTAGCTTGAGTCGAACAAGCCGTCAGGACTCGGGAGTCTATACTTGCAGTGGGATTAACAGTTTCTCTAACAACTCCGCCAACTACACACTGAATGTCTTTTGTAAGTCTGGTTTTGCCCTGGGGGGAAGGGGGTGTTGTAGAGATTTGGGGATTTGGGGAAGGAGCTCCCTGAGGAAAGCTTGTGTAAGAGTCTAACTCCGTGATGGCGAATCTATGGCATGTGTGCCCGAAGTGGCACATGGAGCCATGTCGCCTGGCACGCGCGGCATTGCCCGTTCCTCTTCCGGGTTTTTGGTGCGCATGCCCGCGCGATGATCAGCTAGCCTTTTTGCATGTGGCAGTGCCAGAAATTAGATGATGATCTAGATGGTCTTCCATTTTCCTGTGTGAGCATGCATGCCAGCCAGCTGATTGTCGTGTGAGCTTGTGCACCAGAAACCTGGAAGAGTAGCTGGCTGAAACAGGAAGTTCATCAGCTGAAACAGGAAGTTCATTTTCAGGCGCGCGCATGTGCCCTGGGCAGCTTCTCTTCCGGGTTGCAGCCCAGACAGGCGCGTACTCCCTTTTCGGCACTCGGTGCCAAAAAGGTTCGCCATCAGTTGTCTAACTTCTAAATTGGGGATATATAAGAGACATTTAATCGATTCGTTCGAGGGATCCAGTATTCTCAGTGCATTCCCTTGATCCGGTCACTTTTCTCTCCCTTGCCACGCACCAACCCCTACAGGTAGTCCTCGCCTTACAACAGTTTGTTTAGTGACCATTCAAACATACAATGGCACTGGGGAAAAAAGGTGATTTATGACCCGTTTTTCACAGTTACAACCTCTGCAAGCATCCGCGAAATCGTGTGATCAAAACTCAGGACGCTTGGCAACCCGTTCATGTTTATGATGGCTGCCATGTCCCTGGAGGGGGGGGGTCACGTGATCCCCTTTTGCGACCTCCTGACAAGCCAAGACCATAGGGGAACCGGTTTCACTTAACAACCGAGTTACCCACTTATCAACTGTGCTGCGATTCATTTAACGACTGAGGCAAGAAAGCACGTAGAATGGGAGCAAGATTCCCTTAAATAAATGTCTCCATTAACAACGGACATTGGGGGGGGCTCTGTGGTGGCCGTAAGTTGAAGACTACCTGCCCTGTTATGCAAACCCCTCGAGTAACTGTTTAGATAGGTCATCTTGCAAGATTCACTTTGATCTGGAGCTGTGTCGCTTGTATCTAGCAGGTCAATCCGTTTGAGAAATTGCATCACTCCCAAATATAATAATCTGACTAAACAGGAGAAGCCTATCATTAGACAGGATGAGATAACCTCGGGCTACATATAATAATATAATTGCAAACACGAATCCTGAGCAAGCGTTAAGAGTCATCTGCCAGTTGTAGGTTGAATGGAGGAGGACACAGCTTGTTTGTGGGAAACTCAAAAAATCCCTGGGACAACCGTCTCCCTTGAACCTCAAGGATCTGGGTGAAACGGAGACAATCCAGGCATCGGCGTAGTATAAAACTCACCATCTGTATGGGCAGTTTGGAATCTCTCCAGCAGCCTGGGCAAAAACTCTTAAAATCCTTAAGTAGAGAGTGATCAGTCAGTCCAATCAATCAGAATCAATCAATCAAAACTTTTTTTCCCCCATCATAGATCAGCAAATAAAACAATTACTTAAGATAAGAGTGGGGGGGGAACATAGTTATTCTAAACTATCTCAAAAGGGTTAGAGTTAATACAGGTAGTCCTGCGGTCAAGGAAATAAAATCAGATTGATCCGATAATAACATTTGGTGATTAAAGCAAATCAGAACGAGCAGGATATTTAGCCCAGAGCGGAAATTATAATTCCTGATGACACAAGTCAGTGACGAGATGACAATTGTCAGGACATGTAACCAGGAACAGGAGTTGAGTTCGAAGCCCTTTGCGTTTCTTACATGCTACCTGTACACAAGAATCTGATCCACAGACGGTTGAGGCAAATAATTTGTGGGAGCGTAATGATTCCAAACTGATGATACATTTGACCCTGCCTTCATCTACCCCGAAAACAAGACATCCCCTGATAATAAGCCCAATCGGGCTTTTGAGCGCATGCACTAAAATAAGCCCTCCCTGAAAATATTTAAACGCACGTGCAGCCGGTCCCCGCCATTTCCTCTGGTTTCCTCCAGGTGCCCCAAAATCATAATACCTCCCCGAAAATAAGGCCAAGTGCTTATTTCGGGGTTCAAAAAAATACGAGACAGGGTCTTATTTTCAGGGAAACACGGTACAGCCATAGAGAATAACATGTTCCATCAATTATTCCTTCACTGCACAACACAATCTCTCTTCAAGGGGGATTTTTTTTCCTTGAAGTAGAGATGTTATCAATTGACGAAATGTGAGTCCTTGTTATAAGCAAGCCACCCTTTACCGTACTGTGAGGCATTCTGTACACCTTTTGCAACTTCCTGTATATTACTTCTACCTGCTACATGAAATACGTAGCTTCCTTGCCAAAATGTTATTTTAGCGGGGGGGGGGCACCCGATTTCTTTTTGTTTTACAGTTTGCAGAGTCCCTTTTGCAAACCGCTGCTTACAGCCCACACCCAAAGAAACAGAAGAAGTAATTACTTCTTCTGCATATTTAAAAGGCAGTTTTGTTTTCCAGTTTCTTCAATGCCCCACCCGGGCTTATTATTCTCGAAACGCAGTTTAAGGCTTTCTGTGGGGAGATAGGGGGTTGGCTTACAGGCCACCTGTAACTTGAGAAAGTAACATCAGGCTGATGAAACTAGCATGACGTAAAAGAGGAATTGGACCCCCACCCCACCCCCCACTCCTTCTAGCTGGCTTAGCTGTCCATGATAGCTTTCCTGTTTTGCTTCTCTGTCTGGCCAGGGTACCCCAAAGGACAGTCCCTGGCAGGGGTAAAATCCAGCAGGTTCTGACAGGTTCTGGAGAACCAGTAGCGGAAATTTTGAGCAGTTCGGAGAACCGGTAGTGGAAATTTTGAGCCGTTTCGGAGAACCAGCAAATACCACTTCTGGCTGGCCCCAGCGTGGGGTGGGAATGGGGATTTTGCAGTATCCTTCCCCTGCCATGCCCACCAAGCTACGCTCACCAAGCCACACCACGCCCACGAAGCCACACCCACAGAACCGGTAGTAAAAAAAAATTCGATTTCACCACTGGTCTCTGGGTACCGTGAGAATGTTAAATTGTGTACATTAGGCGCAGTGGTGAAATGTAAAATTTGTTGCTACCGGTTCTGTGGGCGTGGCTTGGTAGTGGTGGGGTAATGTGACTGGGTGGGCTAGGCCAACTTTTTTTTATTATTATTTTTAAAAGCATTTTTTCTACAACCTCTTCGGCTGTTGTTTAAGGTTGTTTAGAGGTTGTTTAAAAAATGCTTTTAAAAGCCTCTGACGATCAGGCAACTCAGCTGGGATCGTCAGAGGCTTTTAAAAGCATTTTTTTTCCTACAACCTCTTCAGCCGAAGATCGAACGTGACATTCTGAAAATTCTCCTCCCCCAAGTTCCCTGGCCTTCTTCAACCTGTAACTCTCCTATATTTGCTCCAGATGGGCCTGATGCCCCAGTCATCAGCCCCGGTGGGCAGTTTTATGCAGAAGGCTCCAATCTCACCCTCTCCTGCCAAGCTGATTCCAACCCACCCGCCAACTATACATGGTCCTTCAAGAACTCTACCCATTCAGGGGGGATCTATCAGCTCTTTCGCTTGTCTTCTGCCAACAATGGGACCTATACATGTGAGGCCTCCAACAACGAGACCAAACTCTCCCAGTCTAAAGTCCAGCCAATCTGTGTCCTGGGTGAGTATATTCATGGTTGTATGGACTTCTGGTCTCCATAAATGACGTCTCTTAACTGGGTTGAGCTTTTCTGAGGCTAGTAATTTATATATATGAACGACTTGCCTCCAGAAGTTGTGGATGCTCCATCACTGGAGATCGATGGGAGATTTGACAGCTATTGGTCCAGAATGGCATAGGATCTTCTGCCTGAGCAGGGGGTTGGACTAGAAGTCCTCCAAGATCCCTTCCAACTCTGTTATTCTGTATTTCCTATCTCCATGGGACTTGCCTGGAATCATCCAGATCCAGTCCCAACGTCTCTTTTTCGCGTTCCATTCTATTTATTGTACCTGTTTGGGTATTCTTGTTTCTTTGACAGCTCCTCCTCCTCCATCTACGACTGTTTTGGGTGTGTTGACAGGGGTTTTGTCCCCAAATGATCCCGCATGACTGGGTTGGATTTAAACTGTCTGCCTCACGACGAAATCTTCAAAAGTCAACACTGGAGCACCACTTTTCATTGGGGTTTCTTTTTCCCTCACGAAATCTCGTTGCTTTAGCCAACTCCTTGCATGGTTTGTGTTTGTGACTGTTCTTCCTAAGATACATTCTTGTGTCCTGTAACTGGATTTCAGTTTTGATGCAACTGTTTACTGTTTCCTTCAAAGGTTTGGAGTTCACCCTCTTTTGCTGTCGTTCTTTCTTAAGTTGATAATTGGGAAGCTTGTACGATGCATATTAGAAATTCACTTGTCTCCATCTCCATCTTCAAAATTCTCCGATATTGTTCCATTTATGTCAAAGTATATACAGTAGTGTTGTGATCTCTCTTCTTTTTTTGTCCTTTTGGTCATCCTTAAACTATATTGAGAGAACTGAAGTTTAGAAAACCATTTGTGAAGTTTCCAAAAGATGCCCTAATTATCATGTGGTATCTTCTTCCTTTTCCCAACTGTTCCTTTCTCTTACGGAGAAAATGTCTAATTTTATCGTTGCTATTTTCCAATATTAACTTAACAGTAAACACCCACCACCTTAGAAAGTCTCATCGCTTTGGGGATGTTCTTCTTTAGAAAGTTTTATCTGTAATAAAACAGAATAATTCTGAAGGTTGAAAGTTGTGTCTGATCATTCCTTTCCCATTAGTCTTAGTTCTCGAATGTCCTCGAAAGAATGAATGAAGGTAAGATGCTCTTCCGAAAAGACATGTATATGAATTAGTTTTTATCCGTTTCAAAATTACTGTCGTGGGGGAATAAGCAGGGGTGGGCTGCTGAGGTTCGAGAGAACCTCTAGCTAAGATTCTGTGCAGTTCGGAGAACCCCTGAATCCCACTTCTGGCTGGCCCCGTCTAGCCCCGCCCCTCCCAGGAGTCCCCATGCAGCCTGTTTTCGATGCAGGTAAGCGCAGGGCGCACACGGAGGCTCGGGGAGGGCGAAAAATGGGCCTACCAGAATAATAACAATAATAACTTTATTATCATTGTACATGTATGCACAGTATACCCATACAGCGAAATTCACTTAACACCCAAAGACCAGGTCCAACACACATAACAATCCCCAAACAGAAGTTTAGGAACGAGCCCGTTTCCAGCCTCCAGAGGGCCTCTGGAGCCTGGGGAGGCCGTTTTCACCCTACCGTTTTTGCCCTACCGGAGGCTCAAGGAAAGCCTCCGGAGTCCGGGGAGGGCAAAAATGCACCACCCGCCATGGTGCAGGAGGCCGACGAGGCCATGTCCACCATGTCCACACCCACCCAGCAACCAGGCAGAGTACCCCTTGCTAAAATTTTTGAAGCTCTCCCCTGGTAATAAGGTTATGTTAACGGCAGTTAAGCTTTAGTAGAGTAACTTCACATTAATAGTCAACCTCTTCTCCAAAGCGCCTGAAGCAGGGGTGGGTTCTAAATTTTTTTACTACCGGTTCTGTGGGCGTGGCTTATTTTGTGGGTGTGGCTTGGAGGTCATGTGACTAGGTGGGCGTGGCTAACTGGTCAGAGTCATTTCTGGAAGGTCCTCGCACTTACAACCAGTCCTCGCACTTACGACCTGACTCATTTGTTTGCTTTTAACACTGATCAGCTGTAGGACGGCCCTTTGAAGCCCCGCGGCAAGAGTTTAAACAGTTTTTTTCCCTCTAGTCATCAGCTGGGACTCAGGAGGCAGCAATAGATTGGGGGTGGGACCAAATAAAAGGTAAGAATAACGGGGGTGGGAAGGTGGGGGGGTAGAACCGGTTCGGTGACGTCATATTGTCACTGCTACCGGCTCGGCCGAACCGGACCGAACCGGGAGGAACCCACCACTGGCCTGAAGGCAGGACAAGAAGCAACGGATGGAAACTAACCAAGGAGAGAAAACCAACCTAGATCTAAGGAGAAATTTCCTGTCAGTGAGAACAGTTAATCAATGGAATGACTTGCCTCCAGATATTGAGGTTTTCAAGACGAGATTAAATAGCCATTTGTCCGAAATGGTATAGGATCTCCTGCTTGAACAGGAGGTTGGACTAGAAGACCTCCAAGGTCCCTTCCAACTCGGAAGTTCTGCTAAATTCTACTTAGCTGGTAGATGTTCCACCATATGAATTCCCACCCAGAAGAAACACTGAGGAGAGCTGATAAACCAGACATTGCTAGAAATGTGGAATTGGATGAAGATAGTAAGAGAGGTCTCCAGATCAGGCAGTTTGATCCTACATCTGAATGTGCTTGAAAAAACAGTAGAAGGACATGAAGAAAACCATGCAAAATAATTGTAGTTTTTTTTTTAACCAGCAAAACCCAAAATTACTGTAGATATGGAGCTACTATTGCAAGAAAAGGGACATGGTGGCTCAGTGGCTAAGACGCTGAGCTTGTCGATCAAAAGGTCGGCAGTTCAGCGGTTCGAATCCCTAGTGCCGCGTAATGGGGTGAGCTCCTGTGACTTGTCCCAGCTTCTGCCAACCTAGCAGTTCGAAAGCACTTTTTTTTAAAAAAAGGAAGTAGAAAAATAGGGACCACCTTTGGTGGGAAGATAACAGCCTTCCGTGCGCCTTTGGCGTTGAATCATGCCGGCCACATGACCACGGAGACGTCTTCGGACAGCGCTGGCTCTTCGGCTTTGAAACGGAGATGAGCACTGCCCGCTAGAGTCCGGAACGACTAGCACATATGTACGAGGGGAACCTTTACCTTTACGTTTATTGCAAGAAAAGATATTAGAAATCAAATGCGAAGCTGCTTTGGAATAGAGATGGAAGGCTATATAGAGCAACGGGGAAGCCAGATAGAGCTTCTCTGAAAATAGAGAAGAAACTATCTGTCAGTCCTGCCTTTGTACAAGCACCTTCAATAATGATAAACAGGCCTTGCGGTAATGGACCACAAAGTCCTAGAAACATTTTTTTCCTGCGGAATCAGATTCTGGTTCCCACCAGCCTTCGGGAGGTTTTCACCAGACCGATGCTTGGTGCTTTCTATTGTCCCTGGTGATCTTATAACGTGCCTTCTAGGACTTTGTACCATTGTGAGATTATTTCTTGGCAAGAGAAGCTAAACAGCAAATTAGACCGAAGGGAAGAAGCTAATGAGAGCGATAATATCTAAAGATGATTCCTCCAAGGGTTTGGGTGCTCTTTTTATTTCCTGGCATCTTTCTTTGCTTTGAGGCTGACCTGATGCACCCTTTCATTTGTGTCTCACCCCAGACCATCCCAGTGTTCCTAACATGGCTATTCGGGGTGGGGTGGTGGCGTGATTTTCCCCAGTATCATAATTTCAACACCCGGACATACATACCAGCCAGAGGTGGGATTCAGCCGGTTCGGACCAGTTTGGGCAAACCGGTTGTTAAAATTCTGCCCAGTTCGGCGAACCGCACAATCCCACCCCTGACTGGCCCTGCCCCCACCCATTTTTTGCCCGGTTTTGGGGCCATTTTTTGGGGTTTTATCAGCTGTTTTGGGGGTGTTTTTCTACCCTTTTTTGGCCATTTTTGGGCTGTTTTTCAGCCTGAAAAATGGCTGGAAAAGGGCCCATAAAATGGGCGGGGCCAGCCAGTGGTGGGATTAGTCCGAACCGGTCAGAATTGCTGAATCCCACCTCTGCCTTTGAGGCGAGTGGCCTGGAGGCGGGGCTGGGTGTGATGAGTGACGTTGAGTTGGCCACACCCACCCAGTCACATGACCACCGGGCCACATCTACCGAGCCAGAGAACCGGTTGTTAAATTATTTAAATCTCACCATTGATACCAGCAAAATAAGGCATCCTGAATAATATTGTAGCCAATGCTGCAATTTATATATCTGTATTTTGTTTTCTTGGGTTTTTTTTTCCCCTTCATTGGACTCATGAAATTCAATTACTAAAATATGAGACAGTGTGATGGTTTCTAGAGCCACCAGGGAACATCCTGGCTAATGCAGACATGTCTGGATGGAAGCCATTGTGTTTAATTACTCTTCTTTTTTTAAAAAAAAATCTGATATTATGCCCTTTTATGTTGGCAGAAGTCCATGTTGGCAATATACTGCACTGATCACAGGAACCATCTCATCCTTAGTTTATGAAATGATGCCAATGCTAACTAGAATTGTTATTTTAAAAAAAGAGAGAGAGAAAGAAGACCGATGCGTGTGCTGAAAATATAGCTGCTGTTTGAGAAAATTCCTGTATGTGTCTTCCGTGCAGGGAAATTTTGTAAAAAGAGGATTTTTCCCCCCGTGAATAATAATATCCGTAGGTTGTTATGTATTGCTTTTCTTTCTCTCATTCTTCCTTTCTTTTATGATTGTTTTGAATGCGTTCAGCTCTTCAAGAAAACAAGAGCTACGTAATTATTATTTATGTCTTCCATTGTCTCTTCCCCGCAGCAAAATAATCTCTGGATCCTTTTTCTAAACAAATGAAACACCCAGTAAAAGTTAGAAAGTAGGATGTAGGAAAAGAGAATAAGCTAGTATTTCTTTTTTAAAAAACTTTCTCTTGGGCTTTTAAAATTCTCCATAAAACGTGCAGTCTAAAATCTTAAGACTGAAAAAGTCAGTCAGTATCAGAGAGCTCGCTCATTTTCTTTTGCTTAGCAAAAGAAATTTTTATCCCAATTTTTGGTCGTAAATAGAGGATTGCCTTTAAAGCTCGGTGGAGTGGCTGTGTGTTCTGAATCAATAGATGGGAGGTTAAGTTAGTCAGCTTCATTGGGCATCAATCAATGCATGGATTTTGGGCTACAGCCCAGTTTTTTCTCAAGGAGACTACCGAGAAACACACAGTAGGTAGTCCTCCACTTACAACAGTTCATTTTCAAAGCTACAAGAGCCCTGAAAAAAGTGACTTGTGGCCCATGGCCACATGCTCAAAATTCAGATGCTTCGCATGTATGACGGTTGCAATAACCCCGGGGGTCATACGACAACTTTTTGCGACCTTCTGACAAAGTCAGGTTCACTTAATAATTGTGTTGCTAACTTGGCAACTGTAATGATTCACTTAACAGTTGTGGCCGGGAAAGAATTATGGCCCTTTTTCGCACTTATGACCGTTGCAGTATTCCCACGGTCACGAGATCAAAATTCAGACCCTTGGCAAATGATTCTTATTTAGGGCAGCCTCCTGGAATGACGTGATTCCCCTCTTGTAGCCTCCTGGCAAGCAAAGTCAAGATGCACTTCACGGCTGCGGCGAGAAAAGTTGTAAAAATGGGGCCAAACTCACTTAACAAATGTCCCGCTTAGCAACAGAACTTTTGGGCTCAAAATTTCAAAGCCGAGAGGTCAATTGGGATTTTAAAACGTAGGAAGCAGCAGACCTCACTTGTTTCCTTTCGGATTGATGGGGGTTTCGCAACGGCCAGCGGCAGCCATTTTGTGAGAACTCTTCTAGTAGTCGTCCAAATCCCAAAAGGGGGTGTGTGCCTTCCCTCATCTTCCACCCAGTAGTGAGTTTCACTTACCTTCGCTACAGGTTTGGAACTGTGAGCGGGCACGTGTGCACTTGTTCCGCTTGCGTGCGGTGCTTCTGCACAGAGCATCCGTGATGGCGTCCAGGCAGGTGGACGGAGCCTCCTGCCACCACTGCTACCGGTTCACCCGAACTGTGGCGAACTGGTAGAAACCAACCACTGCTCCCACCCCCATTTTTGCCTGCTGCCACCATCTGGACACCCGTGACCACTAACCTGCCAATGAAGCAAGTTTAGAGATCAGGAAGAAAGTTCAATTGTCTTTCCCAGTTTTATCTCCTCTTGCAAAGTTGGGGCCAGCTGGGCCCCCAAAAATGGCAAGTCCAGAAGTAGATCTGCTCAGAAGGAAGCCCACCCTTTTCTGCCCTCCGCTCCTCCGTGTCCTGCTTCACGTTAAAATAGGGGATGGGGAGGAGGGAATGTCCAACGCCTTCCTTCAATCCTTGGCTCTCTGTGTCCTTATCAAGAAAAGGAACCAGCCTCTCTGAACCAGTATAAGAGAGAATGCCCAGCTCGTTCAATCAAAGAGAAGGAAAGAAACCATTAAAATTCCATTTTCTGAAAGCTCATGATAAATGATTCCACTTAATTGTTGGATTCAAAGCGGGCAGCATGAGCCATTCTCAACCCAACCCAATCCAGGGTCTTCCTGGCGCATGGTATGCTCATGGACTCAAATCTAGGATTCTTGCAGGAACTTCTTAGCAGAAAGTTGTTGGTGCTACCCGTCTCCCTGATTTGGTCCATTGGCCACGTTGGCGTGAAGGGGAAGGGGGTAAGATAACACACCCACTGTTGTTGTTGTTGTTGTTGTTGTTTGAAGCACCTGAGTCTTTGTAAGCTTCTCCAAACAGAGGAGAGCTCTCAAAACTTCCCAACTCTGGCGATCCTAGATGGTGACCTACCTTGCTGGACAAGCCAAGTACCAGAAGCTGTAAGTACTCAGTCAGTGACCCTTGTTGTGTTTTGTGTGCAGAAAAACTCTCAAAGCCAATCCTGTGGCCTTCAAACTCTCTTGTGGCTGAGAACGCACGTTTCACGCTGAATTGTAGCACCTCCAGTAGTTCCACGGTCAAAGTCACCTGGTCCAAGGACAGTAAACCTTTCCCAACAAATGTAGAATTTGACCATGAAAACCGAACCCTCACACTGCGCAAATTCCAACAACCAGATGCAGGGACCTATACTTGTACGGCCAAGCACCTTCTCGGCGCCGCCACAAGCAACCCCAGTATACTTACACTGGCATGTAAGTAATCTCCCCTTTGACGGGGCCTTTCTTCCTGCTTCATGGTGAAGATATGGCTACTAGAGTTTTCTTTCCCATCTCCAAAATGAAAAATACGGGGATTCTTAGTTGACAAGAGATGAGCCCTCTTCCTCCAAACCTTCTTGGAAGACAGCTGAAGAAGACCTTCCAAAGGAGGGAAGGACCTCTGCAGAGACTCGAGGCAACCTTCTCGGATGCTGAGATGAAATCCCGCCACCAAAATTTATGTTGGAATCATGATAAGCCCCATTCCTGACCCCAACGGTGCCCTAATAACTTTTCTGATTTGTGGGGTGGGGTACGTTCCTCCTGCTTACCAGCTGGGCCTTCTTCTCTTCCACCCCTTTGCCCTGATTCTACCTCCTTTCCTTTCTAGACGGGCCCAGGTCTGCTCAGCTGAACCGGACAGGAACCATAGAGGAACCCCTTGGTTCTGAATTGGTTCTCCAGTGTTCTGCGGAATCTGTGCCTCGGGCCAAGTTTGAGTGGTTCTTCAATAACACAGTCAACAATGGGACGGAGGACACGCTCAATGTTCACTTGAAGGACTGGGAAGATGAAGGCAATTACACCTGCCAGGCTATGAACCCCTTCACCACCCACACGACTTCGGCCTCTGTCTATGTGAAATTGACAGGTGAGAAGTCCGGTTTTTTGGAATCGACCACCCATCCATGATCCTTTCTGGTTCCTCCCAAGTTTTTGGCTCTTCCGAGTTCTTCATGGGTCAAATGATTTGAGGCTGGAGATTATATCCTGGGTAGGATAGTATAACAAGCCTCATGCCAAAGGGAGGTGTGAATCCAGGTTTATATTCTCTATCATTCCAGATGACACTATAAGGAACTGAGTACAAGTATCTGCATGAACAGACTTCTTGGTGCAAAGTCCAGGGCTCAACAAAGAGAATCTGTTAATAAAATGTCTGAGGATGGGAGTCATATGTTTCTATATGGTCTAGATCAGGGGTGTCAAACTCACACCAGGCCCTGGGGGCTGGATCCAGCCTGCAAAAACAGCAAAGGACCAGCCTGTGGTGCCTCTGCCAGTGAAAATGGAGCTGGGGAGGGCTGCCCACAGCCTTCCCGAGTTCCGTTTTCACTGGCAGAGGGTTGCAGGAGGCTGTTGCAGCTGAAAACGGAGCTTGGGATTCTGTTTTCACTGGCAGAGCGCTCGGACCCCCACAGGTGCCCCCGACATGAGTGACGTCAAGCTAGCCCCACCCACCCTGGCCCCCAGAGGTCAAACACAACCCTGATGCGGCCCTCAATGAAATCGAGTTTGACAATCCCTGGTCTAAATTAATATTTTTCAACCTTGGCCACTTTAAGCAGTGTGGACTTCAACTCCCAGAATTCCCCAGCCAGCTGCCTGGGGGAATTCTGGCAGTTAAAGTCTACACAGCTTAAAGTGGCTGAGTTTGAGAGACACTGCTCTACATTTAAGAGCAGGTTTTAGGACTGGATTAATTTTATATTGGTATGCCATGGATTTTATATTTGGCTTTATTTACTCCGTAATCTTTTTCCTGCCCTTAAGTTCAGCATGTTTTCATCGCTGCCATGTATTGTACGAGGAGCGTCAGCATAATCTCTGGTGCTAAAAAAATCTGGAAGGATTGGGTGGCGCCTTTTCCATCTAACCATTTTCGATGCAATAAAAGGCAGAAAGCTTTTTAAAAATGATATGTAGTATTTTTTTTTTAAATGCATTCATCGGAAACGGTGCTACTAAACCCCCTCCTGTAATGTATGTAATTTCTTTATTGCGGTGTTGTTGATATATGATTTTTGTTCTTTACACTTCACTGCATTGCAAATAAGGTGCTTTTCATGCTTTGTTCTTCAAACCTTCCCAGTTGACCAAAAAAAATGAATTCACGGGACAAGCAAACACACACACACACACACACACACACACACACACACACACAAAAGAAAATCAATGCCCTGATAGGAAAAATTAATTGTCAGAGATTCCAAATGCAGAAATGGAACAAAACAGTGGGAGACATGAGCATTTTTCGCTTCTCTTTGCCAACCTCGGCATGCTAGTTAAAGAAAAGAAAACCAGATAAGAAAAGCTAAGTAAATAAAATTGTGGTCGGGTAGTTTTTGATTTACAAAGCTCCGCATGTAGAAAAATTAACCTGCTGATTCTCTGTGGTCATCGGGAGTACCCATCAAGGCCTTTTATCTTTGCTGCTGAATAAAATATCGGAGCAACGTTCTCCCCAAATAGATTTTTGCATTGTGGGTTACTAATGTTCTGAACTGGAGCATGCATAAGTGGTTTGTGGTGTGTTTGTCAGGGAAAACATTGGTTGAGAAGGTGTGATAAAGGTATATTTTGGGTTAAGGTGCATATAATACCTCTTCTATTGCATACGGATTTGGGGTTCTCCATGAGTTGGTCAATCTTGCTGTGACTTTAAGAATTGGGCTATCAGGAGCCACTGTGGACGTGGTGGTGGAGGAGGAGATAGAATCATAGAATCCTTGGGCTGGAAGGGACCTTGGAGGTCATCTAGTCCAACCCTCTGCCCATGGCAGGAAACCCTGGCAGGAGATTCTACCATTCCTTGCTTTGCTTCATATTTTTCTAGGATTTGCAATTTTTCTAGGATTTGGGTAACAAAGGAACGTCTTATTCTCAGTTCATCCACGTCCGTGGTTGTCCCAAAGGTGCTTTTTCAAGAAGCAACTGGACTTCCTTCGTTTTTCCTTGAGGACCTTTCGCTTCTCATCCCAGAAGCTTCTTCGGTTCTTAGAGGAAAAGCGAAACGTTTTCAAGGGAAAAAACCAACAAACAGACAAGGGGAGTGATAGCACCCAGCCAATCTCGGATGATCTTGAAATGCTCAGCAAGGTTTTTAACCTGGTTAATAACAGCACAACAGAGTTGGAAGGGTCCTTGGAGGTCTTCTAGTCCAACCCCCTGCCCAAATGGGGGTTAAGATAAGAATCAAGTTTCAAGTCCACCTTGAACGGTGATTTGGGGCCATTTTCTCTCTTGGTCAAACTTCCTTCACAGGATTGTTGTTGTGGGGATAATGTTAAAAGAGACTAGACAACACGTGACCTGCTAATTTATTCTCTCAGACATATTTCATTACTAGTTTCTTTAATATCTGCAACCGTGACAGAACTTCTGATGTATGATCTTCCCTGGAATAGTTGTGATACGTTCAGAGATATATTTCTCTGCAAAATAGCTCCTGTTGAATTGTACAGCACAGCATCAGACCAGGAAATATTTGTATGACGTATTGTATTATATGTCAGGTGTGAAATATCAGACCCAGATGTGAAGGTCCAATTAAACGGATGTTTTAAGTGTATGCCCAGAAATATTCTTAATTAACAATTTTATTTTTATTTTATTTCATATCGAATTTATATACCGCCCTTCTCCCTGAGGACTCAGGGCGGTGTACAGCCAAAGTAAAAACATAAAACTACAAACATTAAAATACAATTAAAAAGATATATATATGTTTGGCCCCATGATTAAAAGCAATGACAGAACAATTAAAAACATTTTTAAAAAGTGTTAGGCCAGCCCGGCTTGCTGAAAAAAGAAAGTTTTAAGGGCACGGTGGAAGGCACCGAGGTCTTGGATTCTCCTTATCTCTGGGGGCAGCTGATTCCAGAGGGTAGGTGCCCCCACAGAGAAGGCCCTCCCCCTGGAGGTCACCAGCCTACATTGTTTGGCTGATGGCATCCCGAGGAGGCCCTCTCTGTGGGAGCGCACGGGTCGATGGGAGGCCATCGGTAGCAGCAGGCGGTCTCGAAGATATCTAGGTCCTATGCCATGGAGGTTAACCTTATCTTGGCATCAGATAAGGGTCAAAGGAATTCAAAAGAGTTAGATTAGTCCAGGGGTCAGCAACCTGTGGCTCCGGAGCCATATGCGGCTCTTTGGGCCCTCTGCTGTGGCTCCCTGTCGGGTGATCCCACCACTGGCTGGCCCCGCCCCTCTCCCTCCCCTACCAGTCACTCCTCGCCTGGCCTGAGAAGGTAAGAGCGACGGCAGGGGATGGAGAAGTGGCCAGGGCAGAGAGAGAGAGATACAGCGAGAGGGGGAGAGAAAGAGACATAAAGAGATACAGAGGGGGGGGAATGGAGGGGGGAGAGAGAGAAATGTCAAAAGGGTTTTGTGGTTCCCGGTGTTTTTTAACAACTGGTTCTCTGCCCTACTGACCAGCTGGGTAGGCGTGGCCAGGGGGAGTCATGAGACTTGTGGAAGTGAGTGACATCGAGTTGGCCACGCCCACTCAGGTTTTGTGGCTCCCGGTGTTTTCTTTTCTGTGGGAAACGGGTCCAAATGGCTCTTTGAGCGCTTAAGGTTGCAGACCCCTGGATTAGTCCATTTGTGGCTGCGTAGGGACACTAGGCTGATTGCTGCCTTGACTCCACCCCCCCCCCTTGGTTCTGCCACTCCTTCTCCCACATTTTATCATTAAAATTGTTTGGTGATCATTGAATGTTATAAAATATTTTATAAAATGTGAATACCGTAAGAGTCACGGGTTCCGGAGTTTGGATGCATTCTGTAAGTTAGCTTATTTGAGGTAGCTTGGTTTTTGTCCTGCGATGCCCAGTTAAAGCTTAACAGGAAAGAGAGTTTCAATAGCATATAGATATTAAATGCTTTTCCGCTTGCACCGTGGAAATCTCCGTTGTGTTGTTTTAGCGCTACCAATTGATAAGAATTTGTGAATCTAGAATGACAGTCAACTTTTAAATAAGGTAGTCATGGAAATTCTTTCTCCACCGCACCAAAGTGTTCACTGGGATGGTTTTGAGCAAGTATAGCAAAAACCATCATTCTCACGTTATCTCCTGCAGTGTCACAACTTCTCCTTGTGTGTCAGTGTTCAGAAGCTAAACCGGGTGTGGAAAGTGGAGGTGACAAGCTGGGTATTTTTGTGTGTGTGTACAAGGTTGTTCTGTCCCCGTCTCACACACGCACACAAACAGACAGCCGGCGGTTAAATAAACTGGCAGACAACCAATTCTTTCGATAAGAGGATTGGCAGCAACCCAGTAGCTGCTTGCCAAGAACTTTACTCATAAACAAGATACACACAGTTCAAGAATTGTCAAGTCCAGTCCATAATTAAATCCAAGGCCGATAATGTTGTTTCCAAAGATGCAATGTGACTCGATAGTAGTTAGTTTTGTCCGTCACAGAGTCTGAATGGCCACCTCACCCCCTTTTATACCCTGTGGGGTGTGGTCCAGCGACTCAGCTTAATCTCTGGCACGCCTCTTCTTCTGTTGCGCGCGCTTATCTCTGCGACGCTGCCGAGGATCCAGCCAAGACTCATCTCCCTCATTACTGTCCATCTGTGGCTGCATGGACATGCTTGGCCCCAGCCCTGTCTCTTGCCCTTCAGCGGACACCGAAGGCATTGCCAGAGAGGAGGGTCCTGGAGAGGGAGGCCTTGCCAACTCCTCTCCTTCACTCTCGGAGTCCTCTCCTGCCGATGACACAGGCTCAGGTAACAGAGCCACAACAAGGATTGTGTTAGCATCCAAAGCTTTTATGTTATCCTTTCTCCCACCAAGGCAGTGTTTCCCAACCTTGATCATTTCTGGATAGGTGGACTTCTCAGAATTCCACTGCCAGCATGGCCACCGATAAGAATTCTTGCAGTCCAAGGATCTCTTCCAACTCTGTTATTCTGTTAGATTCCCATCTCAGCTTCGTGTTCAGAAGGTCCCAGGCACAGAGTGGGACTTCCACTGAAATCCACCCGCCCTTCCCCCATTGATTTACTCAACAAAATAGAGAAGTCATGTCCATGGCTATGTGCTCTCCAACCTTCACATGTCTTCTCTGACAGATGAGAGTGCGATACAGCCCCGTATGTCGGTTGCAGCCATTGCTGGGACAACTATCGGTTCTGTGGCCGGAGTGGTGCTTTGCGTGATCGTTGTCTATGTCATTTGGACCAAGGTTTCCTGTTGGTAAGTCTCCCACCGAGTCGGCGTTCCCAATCTTCTCGAACTTCTCTAGGTCCTTCCTCCTCTTGGGTGCCTGGTTTCACTTAACTTTGGACTTGCACTCTAAGGGGCTCGTGGCACCAATTTCACCAATTGTTGTTTTCTTTCCTCCTTCTTCACCTTGGATCAGAATCTATCCTGGTACAACCTTATGGAAGCCCTTAAGGGGGCAAATGGCAGGCACACCAGGTCTAACCAGGCTTACTCTAGATTCAGAATGGGATCCCCTAAGGAACAGAGCAGGTATCCACATCCCAGTAGATCTGGGATTAGATTCAGTGCCCATTGCTGAATCTAATAATTCTCATAGACCGGAGCACAATGGGCCATAAGAACAGACTAACCTCAGCCGGACGCGTTTCAATTTCTGAGGCCTTGCAGGTACGTGGAGCTATAATCCCCGTGGATGAGCCAACAGGTGTGCTGGCTGGGGATACTGGGAGCTGTAGTCCCAGTTCATCTTCGGGAAAGACCGGAGTCTTTCCTAATGTCTTAACTATTATAAAATATTAAGACATTGGATTTCTGGGGAAGGAGGGCAGTTTGCATAGAATTTATAAATCTTTTTTTTAAATATATATATATATATATTTGTAATTATAATATTTGAAAGATCCTAATTGGGGAGAAAAGGGTCAAATTAGGGGAGAAATATAAGGGAGGGCGCAATTTGGGGTATTAGCAAGGAAATAGCGACCAAACGTTTTACTCACACTGATCTTATGCCATGCAGATGCAGTATGTAAGGGCTGGCTGTGAGGGCTGGGAATTCTGGGGGTTGTATTTACAGCACACTGTAACTACAACTTCCAGAATTCCCAGCCCTCACAGCCAGCCCTTACATACTGATTTGTAAAACCAATGTTTGAAAACCAATTTCTCAAACCAATGTCAGAGAAATTTCTCTGGAAAAAAAAAAAAAGCCCTTTCTCTGTTAAGTAGTGGCCAAAATTGTGGAAACCATTTGGGAAAAGTGTATTTTCTAAAACTAGCTAATAATACCACTTTTTTTTATTTTTTTTGAGTAGTACCCTAAAATGATATATCAATGGAAAGATAATTTAATCAAGAATGTAATGCAATAACTTTTATGAAGGATTTGCTATTAGAACAGCAGTTACAGTATAAAGAAGAAAAGTAAAACACGTAGAAAAAACTAAGATATGCAAAAATGATCACCAGGTCAGTTAATATTTAGCTGGATAACCTTTAGCATGAATTATGGCCTTACAGCGTCTTCCCATGGAGTGAACCAAGTCTTTGAGTTCTGCAGCTGTTATCATGTGAAACCAAGATTGAATGATGGCTTCTATTAACTGGGTTTTATTGCTGGGTGGCTTCTGACTAGCAAGTACGCTCCCATAGAGAGGGGCTCCTCCGGGTGCCGTCGGCCAAACAATGTCGACTGGCGGCCCCCAGGGGGAGAGCCTTCTCTGTGGGGGCACCTACGATCTGGAACGAGCTCCCCCCGGAGATACGGAGGATCCCGGATCTGCGCATCTTCCGTCGTGCGCTTAAGACTTTTTTATTTCATCAAGCCTAAATCTTCTCCCCTTTTTAAATGTAAATTTTAATTCATTTTTAAATTATGGGGTTTTTTAAAATTCAGCCAAATTATTTAATTTGTTTTTATTCTATTTTAAATTTTTTGTATTTATGTGTTTTATCCTGGGGCTGTTCACCGCCCTGAGTCCTTCGGGAGTAGGGCGATATAGAAATTTAAATAAATAAGTAAATAAATCAAACTGGCAAAGATGGCAGAGGCATGCCCGTATACCAAAGCATCGGTCTTTCATCACGATCCCACTACTATTATCTTGATTTTTTTTTTGGATTCCTTCCATGCAGAGCTTCCTCTGCAAATACAGATGCCGTAAAAATAGAAAACTTAAAAAAATGAAAGCTACTGACTCTGGCCAGATAAACAGCAAGGAAGGGAAACCCCAGGTGAATTTCTAAGAAGGGGTTGGGGGGTTAGTAGTGCAGGATTATAAATAACTGTCTGGCGTTGTCGGGAAACAGATCCCCGCTTTGTTTGGGGTCACACGTGTCTGCTGTTTATTTAGGAAGAAGGAACAGCACGCATCCAATGGAAACATACCCTCGGCACCCGGCCACAGTAAGTATCAGCCCTTGGGCCGGGCCGGGATCTGCGTGGCGCATGTCTGTATTTGTGATACGGTCTCCCCGCTACTAACACGTCGCCTCACAATTTAGGGGAGCCTCACTAACGCTGGAGAAAAGGTGGAGGAGATTTTCCCGCACTCTTTAGAGCAGTGTTTCTCAACCCTTGGCATTTTAAGAGGTGTGGACTTCAACTCCCAGAATTCCCCAGCCAGCCTGGCTGGCTGGGGAATTCTGGGAATTGAAGTCCCACACCTCTTAAAATGCCAGCAGTTGAGAAACACTGCTTGAGAGCCGGAGAGCAGGTGTCTCCATCCACAGCCCTAATGCATCCTGGGGAAATTCCTGCATGACTGGGGATTCTGGGAGTTGGAGTCCATGCGTCTTAAAATGTCGGTGGGTTGAGAAACCTTGCTGTAGAGTTGGAGTGTAGGAAAACAGGTTTCTCCATCCACAGCCCTAATGCATCCTGGGGAAATTCCTGCATGACTGGGGGATTCTGGGAATTGGAGCCCATGCGTCTTAAAATGTCGGTGGTTGAGGAAGTACTGCTTTAGAGCCAGAGCGCAGGAGAGTAGGTGTCTCCATCAACAGCCCAAATGCATCCTGGGAATTTCCTGCATGCTCTTTAGGTACGGGGTGGGCTTTTTCCCAGCTGCTCTGGCTCCTGTTTACAAGGGGAGAATCCTTCTCTGACTTTACTCCTGGCATCTTGGTTTCTGGAAAAAGCTACTGCTTTTGTTGGGGTTCACTTCTCTTCTTCTCCCATCTGTCCATCTTTGGTTCTCCTTCTGTCCTCACTTGTCCTTAAAGCCTGAATCACTTGGGATTTCTGCTGCTATATTACATGATAATTTCGTGGGGGGGTGGAGGGATAAAACCCCACAGCTCCCCAGAAGTGGTGAGATTAGGCAGGATGGTCATTTGGAGAAATGGTTCTTCATCTCCGTTGAACTTCTGCTACATGGATACAAGCATGAAGAAGGCATGTGGGGGTGGGAAGCTGTTGACCTCCGTTGTCTACCCCTGCATTGGCTTGGATGGTCCGGACCTGGACTCAGGTAGGAAGGGGAAGATAGGTGGGTTGAACCATGGGAGAGGTGAGAGGATCCCCATTCTAGAACTCTCCAGTCCCTTTTGTCAAATCAACAACGGACTTCTGCTGATCTTCCACCATCTGGGCTTTCCTGAAGTTCTTTTAAGAATGGAAGGACCATTCAACAGAAGTGAATCCGTTTGCTTGGGATTGAACAGTGGACTTCTTGGTGCCCTCTGAGCTTGATGACTTTCTTGTTTCATGACCCAACTCTACATCGAAACCACCAAGCTTAGAATGCCTTCAAGAACACCACCGGAAGGGACTTTGACCATTTTAGCATTCTTCCTTCCCCTGGCCTTTAGTTGGAGATAATAATCTAGACCAGGGGTCCTCAGATTTGGCAGCTTTAAGACGTGTGGACCTCAACTGCCAGATGCTGGCTGGAGAATTCTGGCAGTTGAAGTCCACACGTCTTAAAGCTGCCAAGTTTGAAGACCTCTGATCTAGGGGGAGAAAAATGAATTTAGTTGGAGATGACCTTGGCACGGAGAGAAGAAACTTGGTACCTTCTCCATGCCCTGCCACGTCTCTTAAATCGGGAGGGACTTCCTCGCCAGCATATGTGGTTTCAGACAGAGTCCACGCCTCTGTGTGTCTCTCGTAAGGGCATGGATGCAATTGTGTTTGTTCCAGTTCCCTGATTTTTTTTTCTCTCTCTCTCTCTCTATCGTCTCTGTCTCTGTCATTTCAGACCAGGCCACTGATACCAAGTCCAAACTGGTAAGAATGGAACCCTTCTCATTTCTATCGTGTCCAGATTTCAAGGTGGAAAGAAGGTCGAGTTAGAAAACTGGAAACGTTGAGGGTCTAACTTTAGAAGGGGGACGTGGTGGCTCAGTCGCTAAGGCGCTGAGCTTGTCGATCGAAAGGTCGGCAGTTCAGGGGTTCGAATCCCTAGCGCTGCGTAACGGGGTGAGCTCCCGTTACTTGTCCCAGCTTCTGCCAACCTAGCAGTTCGAAAGCACGTTAAAAAATGCAAGTAGAAAAATAGGGACCACCTTTGGTGGGAAGGTAACAGCGTTCTGTGCGCCTTTGGCATTGAGTCATGCTGGCCAGTCATGACTGCCTGTACATATGTCCAGATTATTTGAAAACTAAAAAAACCCAAGGCCAAATAAGAACTTGCTGTATTCTGAAGACGGAGTTGCTACTAAGGTGCATTGTATTATTGTCATTATTATTATTTTATCAATATCAATTATTTCCTGGGTCATCATAACCTTAACGGATTCTAAAGACTCAGGAACCCGAGCAGTACTGAACCTAAGGTAAGTAAAGTATAGTCTCAGTTCAGACAATCAAGAGGGTCCTTTTTTTTTTTTTACTCTTGGGTAAGTTTAGGTAAGTTAAATATTTCCGTAATATAGTCAGTTGTTGGCCACAGAGAGCCAAGAAGAGTTTTAAGAAAACCAGATTCAAATAAAACCCTTGCAGATAATTAGAGAATTTCCAAAGCTGTTGGGGAAAAAAACCTGTTAGGAAACTACTGTGTTTCCCCGAAAATAAGACCCTGTCTTATATTTTTTTTTTGAACCCCGAAATAAGTGCTTGGCCTTATTTTCGGGGAGGTCTTATTATTTTGGGGCGCGTGGAGCAAGACGGGGCTCCTCTTGCCGTCTTACCTGATTTCCAGCTCTGTCTCCCTAACCCTAACCAGAGGAAATGGCGGGGACCGGCTGGACATGCATTTTAATATTTTCGGGGAGGGGTTATTTTTGGGGGGGGCTTATTTTAGCGCATGCACTCAAAAGCCCAATCGGGCTTATTATCAGGGGCTGTCTTATTTTAGGGGAAACAGGGTATATAGATATTTGTAGTGCCAGTTTTCTGGGCCTCTACAAATTCAGGAAGAGTTGCCACTTTTCTTTTTGTGCTCCAGTACCTTTTAACTGGGCACAACTCTTGGGGGTGGTGATGCTTTAAATAAGCAGAATCCAAGCAGAACGACCATAAAAACCTCTAGAGAAAACAGGAGCAAGATGCAAAAAAAGAATTAAAATAGAAACGCATGAGTATTTAAATCACAGCTTGACAAATTACATGCGGTTTTGTTTTTGTGATTTTTTTTTGTGTGTGTGCGTATTTTAAAACGGACTTCTCGTGCTTCCCGAATCGTTTGCCGTTTGGAAGGGAAGAACGGGGTTTGCTGTGAAAATGCTGAATTAACGTTTGCATGCCTTGTTTGGTATCTGTCTCCAAAGGCACATGTTGTTGTGTCGCCGTTGTTATTCCTGTTTCTCGTTTCTTCCTTCAGTGGAGAGCTGACGATGCAAAGGGAAGGGGCCAATTTTGCACAGATTTCCACCCTGAGGATTGAGAAAGAGAGAGAGAGCGCGTGTTGTCCGTTTCTCCTATTGTTCTGTGTCCTGTGTTCTAATCTCTCCGTCTCTTCCCCCTTCCCTCCGCCTTCCTCTTTTACAGGGTGAAGAAGACATACAATATTCAACACTAGCTTTCAACACAAAAACTGCTTCTCAACCACTCTCAAAATCCCCCCGGCCTTTGGACAGCGGTATCATTTATTCTGAAATCAAGAAAAAATGATTGCGGGTTGATCTTTGTCTGGAGGGGGAGAGGTTATTTAACCCAGGAGCTTCCCCCCCCCCCTCCTTCGGCTTCCTTCCTCTTTCAGCTGGATTCTGGTGGCGAGCTTTGATGGGGAAGAAGGGAGGATAAAAATGATCTTCTCCCAAGAAAGGAAGGGCAAGAAACCTCTTCCCACATGATCGTTTACTGTCCAGATGCCGCCCAGCCTCTCAAGTTGGATGCAAAACAGCAACAACAGCGGAGTTTCTCTCCAGGATGTAATGAAAGGGTTGGCAGCCTCGTGCGAGAGCCAACACGTACATTTTTTATCATGTTAAGACTTCCGTGCGGGCAGTGGGGAGGCTGTTTCATTCCCCCTCCTCAAACAGGGCAGGAAGCAAAACAAGAGGTTGCATTTTGGGTTCTCTGCCTTCCCCTCCCATTCTCATCCTCGCTGCGATTCCTGAGTGGTGCCAAACGGTTCTTTTGTTTTGTTTTGCAATTTGAGTTTGGTGTTTGCAAGCCAGCTGTGGCTCCTAACCCTCCTGGGCTTTTTCCTGCCACGTGAAAAATAATTTTAAAAAAACAAAAAGGTCTCGTTTCTTCAGAAAAGCATATGACGTGCTTGCTGGTCCTCACTGTTTTTCAGAAGCCAGAGGAGCTGATTTTTTCCCCCAGTCAGATTCCTGCCGCTTCTAGATCCTCAAATATCTCTTGGCATTTTTTTTTTTTTTTAAATCAATAGGTAGATCAGTTGGGCCTCTGTCCCCGGAGGTTGCGGTGGGAGGCGGTGACGACAAAAGGGCATTGTGATTTTCCTTCTGGAACCGTTCCTTGTTTTCTCCAGATCGGCTACACCAATTAGAAGAGACAAACAAACGAAGAACGATCAGGAGCCAGATAGTGACGGGAGCAATGAGGTTCCGGTTTGACAAATAATTTTTCCCAGGTTTATTTATTTATTTTTCTCCTGCAAACTGGCATTTGCTGGGCAGGAGGGAAGGAAAAAAGTGAGCCCCAGGCAGACAGAGATTTAGTTACCCCTTACCCCGGTGAGGTTTTCCATAACTCTTGAGCACCAGATGAAAATGTCCTTGGGGGCTTTGTTGACAATTCCAGAACTTTGGATGAACTTTCTGCGGAAAAAGCTTGGCAGTCCCATCTCTTTTGGGCTGGTCCCAGCTCTTCAGGTCGACAGCTTGGTAGGACAGTTTGGGATACGGCACGGAGCTACGATGAGAAGAAGCAGCTTTTCAATGACCTGCTAGCGTAGAAGAATTGAAAAATGCAGGGCCCAAACGTCAGATGAACTCCCCCGCTGCAGAAAAATGCTTGAGCTAGGCAGAAAAGGAAGGCTGCCTCGTTGAAGGCATCCAAGCATGGAGAGAAGGTGTGTTTAGCCAAGGGTGTCTCTTCATTTTGGTGGGGAGGGGGGCGGGGAAGCAACTTTAACAGTTAAACGGTTTGCCTTGCTTCCACTTCATGGTATTAGAATTAACCGGTCTGCCTTGCCTCCAAATGCAGGCCATTTAAGGTCTGGAACAGGAGAGAAGAAAAATTTATTTTAAATATCCACTGCTCGACGTTAGGATAGCCATTTAGGGCGTTTAGGGCTCCCCTCCCTTTCCCCTTCCCTGTTTCTTTCCTTTGATCAAAAAAATAAAACCCGCCAGCCTCCCCCTACCTGGCACGATAGCATCTCATACAACCGGAGCCTCGCACAATTAATTGTCAGGTGTGGCCGCGCAACTTGTGATCGCACAACGAAGCTTTGGAGCAAGAGGACAATGGCACAGTGTTTTGGGAATAAGGACGTCGCATGTAACCTTCCCCGGTCTCCAAATGAAACCATCATCTGCCATCCTATCTTTTCTGGAAAAAGCGGAATCTGAGAAGGAAGATCGAGAGACCTCATGTAAATTGTCGTGTTTGGCTTGGCGGGTGGTTTCCCCGTGGTCTGAAGCTGATTTTCGATGGATGTGTCTGGATATCTTTTTTTAATTTAAATAAAAAAATAAAACGGAAGGGAAAAGAAGAGGCGAGTTTGTATATCGTCAGCCCTTAAAAAGAAAAAATCAGAACTGCTCTCTGTTCAGGGGTGGGATTCGAACATTTTAGCAAGGGGTTCTTTGCCCAGTTGCTGGGTGGGCGTGGCCATGGTGGGTGGACCTAGTCAGCCTCCTGCACCACAGCGGTTTTTGCTCTCCCCAGGTTCCAGAGGCATTTTTTGAGCCTCCAGGAGGGCGAAAACAGCCTCCCCTGGGCTCCGGAGGCCGGAAATGGGCCCGTTTCTGAACTTCTAGTACTTCCGGTAGGCCCATTCTTCGCCCTCACAGAACCTCCACGTGGCTCCTGCACTTACCTGTCATCCAAAACGGGCCACGTGGAGACTCCCGGGAGGGGAGGGGTGAGCGGGGTCAGCCAGTCCTTGCAACTACTGGTTCGGCAAAACAGATGTAAAATTAGCATCCGATTCGCCCAAACCGGTCCAAACCAGCTAAATCCCACCCCTGTCTCTGTTGCGGGGAAACCAACAAATATTCACATCCAGTTTGTTGCCTTGTAGATTGGGGGGTAAGGGCAATAAAAGAGAATATTTGTAATTTAGGATTGAAATGTGGGCTCCTTGGTGCTCTCTGAGCTTGGATGTTTTCCTGCAGACATTTTATGACCCAACTAGGTAACGTCATCAGTGCTAGACAGGAGTGGGGTTTGTGGAGAGGAGGAGGAGGACTCTGGGGTCCTTGGTGCTCTCTTGAGCTTGGTGGTTTTCCTGCAGACGTCTCATGACCCAGCTGGATAACGTCATCCGTGTCACTAGTAATGAAACATCTGCAAGAAAACAACCAAGCTCAGAAAGCATCAAGGACCCCACAGTCGTCGTCCTCTCCGCAAACCCCACTCCCTTCTAGCACTGATGATGTTACCTAGTTGGGTCATGAAAGGTCTGTAGGAAAACAACTGAGCTCAGAGAGCATCAAGGACCCCTCAGATTGCGGGGAGAGCAGATTCTCCCCCCCCCCCAAAAAATTCATAGCCTCTTCCTCTCTTTGGATTGCATGCATGGGGCGGCTGCAAAAAAAAACCATTGCAGGGAGGAAATTGCTATCTGAGGTTACCAAGTGACCAGAAATGTTAATGTGTATATATTGGCTTGCATTCAACTTGGTAAGTCACAAATCTTTTTAAGGGTGGGTGGTGGGAGACAGTCCTAAGGCAGGCACAAGTTTTGACAGGGCTATTTAACAGACCACAGTTCTTTCAGATAACAGTAACTCCTTACATACCTAAACACATATACGGCACTCCATAATTATCCTGCAGTGTATAATTTAGCGGTTTCTCTGCAGTCCGCGTAGTACACAGAATGTTTGTGATCCTTGTACATTTTGCTTATTTCGTTATTTGTATCCCGTCTTCGTTCTGTTTACAAATAATTCAAGGCAGCGAATATATCCAACACACCTCCCTCTCTCCTATTTTCCCCGCACAACAACAACTGAGAGAGAAGGACTGGCCCAAAGTCGCCCAGTTGGTGGGACTAGAACTCGCCATCTCCTGGTGATTGGCCTAAAGCCACCCAGACAGCTTTCATGCCTAAGGTGGGACTAGAACTCACCGCCTCCATCTATTCTCTGCCTCTCGAGTCCTCAGCTGATCGGGAGGAAATGGGGACTTTTGCAGTATCCTTCCCCTGGAGTGGGGTGGGAATGGGGACTTTTGCAGTATCCTTCCCCTGGAGTGGGGTGGGAATGGAGATTTTGCAGTATCCTTCCCCTGTCACGCCCATCAAGCCACACCACAGAACCGGTAGTAAAAAATTTTGAAACCCACCACTGCTTCCAAGTCTCTTCTGATTGATTCCCCCCCCCCCTTTTTTTTTTTTTTTTTAGAGAGATTGGCTCTCGGCAACTTTTCTGACATTTTTCCACACCTGCCTGAAGTTGGAGAAAATGTTGCTGGCTGGGGACGATGGCAGTTGTAGTCCAATGCAGCCGACAGGGCCTTTGCGTGACTCACGCCCCAGTGCAGAAAAAGTGATAGAAACAGGGATATTTCTGTCCCCAACATTGCTAGGCAAGGAAAGACTGTCTTGACATAAATCTCCCACAGTTTGGAAACATCATCTCGCTGTGCAAAGCAGCAGGTTGCTTTTGGCGCCGCGGCGGGCAATGGCACGCGGGGCTTTCGCAAATAACGGTGGCCGTGCCTCCCACTCAGAAATTTAATTTCTGGATGGACCCCTTCCACGCACAGACACACAGCCAAGGAATCTGAACTCACCATTAGGAAACCATTAACGTTAAGCCTTGGCAAGGCAAGGCAATCAAAGCAAGCAGAGAGAGGGAGGATGAGGAAAATGGAAGCTCTCCTCGATAAATTGGGACAAGGAAGCATATGCATATTTCTTTTCCCCCCCCTATCCTCCCAGTTTGGGGGTTGGCGGGTGGGCAGCACACTTTGGATTTCTAAAATAGTTTAACTCCGAAGGCAGCCTCCGCGTTGAATGTAAAGGAGGAGAGAAGGAGGTAATTTTAGAAAGTGCAAGCTGACCTCAGGCCCCATTCATCTGTCGTGTTGGAAGGATCTATTTAAAGAGAGGGTGGGCAGGCTTCGGGCTTAGGGGTCGGCTTTGGTGGGGGCGTTTGCGGGTATGTGTGCTTTTTTAAGGGACCACCCACCCCTATTCCCCCAAAACGAGGCACAAAAAGAGAGGTGTTTCAGGAATGGCCCCGACAAATTTCTGTCTCCTGAGTGCTGAATTTGTCATAAGGTAAAGGTTCCCCTCGCACATAGGTGCTAGTCCTCATGGGTCCCAAGAGAAAACGGTGAGGACAATATATATATATTTGGAGTGCAGGTTGCATTCTTCGAACAAAACAAAGGTAAAAGGTAAAGATAAAGGTTCCCCTCGCACATACAGTATGTGCTAGTTTTTTTCCCCGACTCTAGGGAGCAGTACTCATCTCCGTTTCAAAGCCGAAGAGCCAGCGCTATCCGAAGACGTCTCCGTGGTCATGTGGCCGGCATGACTCAACGCCAAAGGCGCACGGAAGGCAAGAGAAGAAGACAACCCAGCAAGGAAAGACTCGGTCATGGTAGCCAAGGGAAAGCTTCATCGCTGGAAGCTTTCAAGAAGAGACTGGACTGCTATCTGTCAAAAGTGGTGTAGGGCAGAGGTGTCAACCTCAAGGCCCAGGGGCCAGATCGAGCCTAGCAGGGTGCTTAGATCTGGCCCCAGGAGCTGGATCTGGTCCATGGGGTGCTTAGATGTGGCCCATGGGGCTACCCTGGAAGCAGCAAAGGACCAGCCTGCAGTGCCTCTGCCAGCGAAAACGGAGCTTGGGAGGGCTGCAGGAGGCCCTCCTGGATTCCATTTTCTGTCATGCCCCCGTCAGAGTCTGAATCTGAGACGGAAGACAAACAGCTGACAGAGAGCGGGAGAGTGGCTCCGTTGGCTGTAGGGAAAACTGGGGAAGGGCAAAGTCAGGCTAGGCAGAGCAGGGGAGAGGTAGGACAAGGGAGAAGGGGTTCAGATGAAGACCAAGGCCCACCCCCTCCTCATCCTAGGGCACTCAGGGAAGTACGCAGAAGAGAGCAACGTGGGTTGCGTGGCTTACGAGGAAGGAAAGGACCCTGATTCCCTTCACAAGGCACACCTGGGGATGGAGTTTAAAGGAGAGGCAGTTGGGAAGGGTGTTTGTCGGGAACAAACACTGAATCCTTCTAGTGTTGAGAGTTGTGGCCTGCATTCCTGGCATTCCTCCTGACTGCTTGAATTACTGCCGTGCTTCTGTGTGTTTATCTTGGCTTGCTGGAATTATTTCTGGCTTCCGGGACTCATTATCTTGCCCTGCTGGAGTGATCGATTGCAGTCATTCTGCGTACAGCATTTGGACTGGAGTATCTGCGGACAGAAGCTGTTGCAGGTTTGTGGGAGAGCTTTTCTCCAGGCTGGAGAATAAATGGGACGTTGGGGGCAAAATTGATGCCAATAAAGGGACTCATATCGGTTTTCTGGCTGTGTTGCCTTTGTGCCACAGCCCAGGTCTTCACAATTTTCACTGGCAGAGGGTTGCAGGAGGCCGTTGCAGCTGAAAATGGAGCTTGGGAGCCCATTTTCACCGGCAGAGCGCTCAGGCCACCACAGGCACCTCCAACACGAGTGACATTGAACTGGCCATGCCCACCCTGGGCCCCGGAGGTCAAACACAACCTTGATGTGGCCCTCAATGAAATCGAGTTTGATACCCATGGTGTAGGATCTCCTGCTTGGCTGGCAGGTTGGACTAGATCAGTGTTTCCCAAACTTTTGACATATGTGTACCCCTTCTATAATTTTCGTAACGCTGAGTACCCCTCATAAAAAACATATGCTTTAATAAAAATCAAAATATATTTATTTTTTATTTTTTTGGTACATACACAAAATAAACGAAAGTTATATTATAAAGAACATTTAACACTGCAATTCTCCGGCGTTTAAACAGCTCCGCGGCTCACCGTCAACTGTTAATGTTCCCGCAGTTTAAAAATGGCCGAACCCGAGCTGCGCGAAGGATGCGCAGAAGTTCCCTCCATAATGAGTTGCGATACGATGTACGATGGCCCCAGTTCCCGTGTAAAAACTGCGATACGCGCCTATTTCTTTCCTTGTTCTGTGGGCGCAGCTAAGCACGGTGCAGTGGATATTCCCACGTGATCCCCACCAAACTCCGGTGCAACATGTACCCCCACCAAACTCTTCCTGTACCCCTGGGGGTACGCGTACCACACTTTGGGAAACACTGGACTAGATGACCTACAAGGTCCCTTCCAACTCTGTTAATCTGTTAAAGAACCAAGTTAGGGGACGGGGGGGGGAACTGATGCTCCAGGGGAAAAAATCTACTGATATGGTTGCTAGGAGTCAAAAACACCCTGATGACACCTCACCTTATCCAGTTAAATCTGGGAAGTAACTCTGACACAGCTTTTAAGAGAGGATTTCAGGGCGAGGAAGAGATTTACGATGTTTGGCTAAGGCAGGCCACC